GGGGGGAGGGGGTGAGTTTTTCACATCATGTCTACAATAAAGCGCAATATCGACGTAAAAAGTATTGGATAAGAGATTGAAGACGGGAGAGATTCTCTGTGGTCGAAGTATATGGCATTCCTAGGATGGACCGTATATATATATATATATATATATATATACAATACACAAAGATCAGTTGTACTTTCCACTTGATTTGTAGTTTAAAACATTGACCAGCAGGTTGCCGCTTTTATTTTTCTTCATATTTATTTTAGACCATTACTGCCTTGATAGTAAACAATAGTAAAAGAGGCTTTAATATTTTCTCTTCACAGTTGCGCATCAAAAATTCGACTTGTGCCCTGGAGTGGGATTACAAATAGCGACAGCGCTACGAAGATTTCGCTACGTAGCGATTCAAAGCTACATTCACTTTAAAAAATTTTCTAGCTATCGGGTGACTTAAAAAATGGTATCATTTTGATAGATTTAAGTTGGTACAATTGTTTTTCTGTGTATTTTTTTTCTCATATTTGCTTTATTTTATAATTTAACAATTTTTTTTTAGAATCAAGAATGTATCAAATTCCTAAGGATTTCCCACGATGAAGAAATGAAACAATTAAAAGAAGTATCTAAAAGGCTGACAAATTTTTCAAGTGTAACACTTCAAATCACAAAAGTTATAAAAAGGCAATTCGAGGCAATGATAATTATTAATATTATTATATTAACACTTTTATTTCCAATTTCTATATCCTTACAAAAAATCAAGAAAATAATTCAACTTTATCCAATAATAATAAACTATTTACTTTTCTTTTTTATATTATTAATTAAATATTTATTGCATTTATATTTATTATCTTTTTCATAGGATTAAAAGTTTCTATTAGACATTGTCTAAAATGGGAAAAAAATTGAATTAAAAAAATTTTGAAGATATAACCTCAGAAATAGAATTTTTGTTCTCACGCAAGGGTTCACTAAAAAAATTAAAGAGTTTTTCAAAAAATGAAAATTAAAAATAATTTAATTAAAAAATTAAAGAATAATTAATTTAATTTTAAAAATTAAACAATTTTTAAATTTAGGCTGGTAAAGAATATCCTAATTTTAAATCTCACGCAATTATTATTTTTAATTCTTGCAATAAGATTAATTTTCTTAATTTTTATTTATTAAATTAAATTAAAAAAATTTATTTCCCTTTATAAATTATTTTAACATTAAACTAGATAATTTATTTTTAAAGTTGTTATTTATTAAATTAATAGGTTATTTGCAATATTAAAGTATAATTTATTTCGTCACTAGTTAATTATTTTATTTGAAACTAACAGTTGGCAAACATGAAGTTAGAGAATTGATTCCACCTTCATGTTGTATTTGTTTGCTACGTAGATAAAATATTTTAGGAAATTGACATGAATTCTATGTCAATGTCCTTATTTAGAGGGGTTATGTTTATAGTTTTTTCTAAATTACCATCTTGCAGTTTAAGCTTTGAAGAAATTGTCAACGGTATTTTATTTTGGCCATGATTTGGAACAAATTTCACTAAAAATATGTAAGTTTTTAATTCTAAATAACAAAAAGCGCTACATAGCGACTAGCGCTATTATTAGTAATCCCACTGCTGGAAAACATGGCGATATAATTGTAATCGCAAACGCAACCTGAAGAATGAGTTAGAGAATGATAGACATATTGTTTGTTCTTCTCCAACTCATTATTCCAGTTGCGTTTGTGGTTACGTTTCTATTCTGCTCAGGCCTATACGCGACCAACCTCAATATTTTTTACAATTTATCTTTTTAAAGTAACGCGAACAAAAAACATATCTATATTTAGCATCATCAGTCTAATAACAAGAAAGATACTTTTTTTTTTTTTGATTTAGTAAAAGTTGCTAAAAATAAATGAATTTCAAAAGAGTCGAAAAATAAGAATCTAACTTCATATATATATTTACAATCATTTCCTAACCTGGACACATTACAAGAAAATTACATCAATGACATAGAGAAGAAACTTTTTTGGCTCTATTTCAAGAAATATCAAAATTGAAAGCTCATTCAATTTTATGGTCCATTTATTCTATTCTTAAGAAGACACAGATTCAAAAATATAATATTGACATAAGTAGAAATTAAAAATTATAAATAACAAATATTAAAAATTTATCTAAAGAATATAAGAGAAACAAAGCTCATTATAAGCAGTTTCATTATAAGCAGAAATTGAACCTTTTTTTTAAGACAAATAGAAATATAATTATTTCTAAAGTTTATATAAACTATATTTACAAAACAACCAATAAAAAGTATATATAATTAACCGAAAGTGAAAAATTATATTAATAGAATATATTTGTGTATAAAAAATTATAATAGTAAATTGTTTCCAAAAGTAGAGTTATGAGAAAATTTCAAATTATAGTAAATAAAAAAATTTTCTGTTTCAGATGCATCTCAGAGGAATTTTTATTTAGGGGTCGTTCATAAACCACGTAGCCCTACTTTTGTCACGTTTTGAACCCCCCCCCCCAACCCCTGGTAGAACGTAGTTTTCCTAACTTATTTATCTAAATTCATTTTCATTGCAGTATATTTTAAAGATTCAATTATCGATCGATTCGAAGTTGGAATAACCCGCGCTTGTTTAAAAAAAACAAAATAAATAACTACGTAACCATGGTTCGAACCCCCCCTCTCTCCTTAAACTAGCTACGTGGTTTATGAACGACCCCTTATATTTTGAAAAAAAATCGTTACAAAGAGAAAAATTGTTTTATAATAAAGATAATAAATCAAAAATTTATAAATTTTTAGTTGCAAAAATATAGGTAATTGACAAAAATTTCAAAAGAAAAAAAAATTAAAGTGTATACATTTGAAAAATTACTTTCTCTAAAAATAAATTTAACAAGTTTTTTGTAATTTTCCTCAACTGTTGCACATAATATATGGAGAAGAAAAATGAATCTTATTATTGAATAAAGGAAATAGTGATACATAAAAAGTTATTCAATATTAAATAAATTAAATCAATATTTAGTCTAATTTGTAAATGTCAAAATAAATTAGAAAACCTGAATAAAAAATAATAATCAATAAAATTAATAATAAAATTCAATTCATTTAAATTTTCAAATAAATTTTGAAAGAAAAATATTGCAAAATGTATATATATATATATTTGTAACACTTTACGTCAGTAAATTTTACAATTTTAACTAGTACAGACGTCTATAAAAGTGCATATTTCATTCTTTGTACTCATAAAACACTTGGTTTCAATAATTTTCACAGAAAAAATTCTTCAATTCTCAGAAATAATTTATTCAATATATTTTTATCGTACCCGTCTATTCTTCGAACTCAATAATAAATGTTTGCAGATATGATATAGAAAAATGTGATTTTTCTATTGAATTTATCTACTCTTTTTTTTTGTATGTACATTATTAAAACTTTTGATTTTTAATTCTTTTTTTTTCAATTATCTTTAAAATAAATGTGCAAATTTTTAAAGAGTACAAAACTCCTAAACATTTTTCCATTACAGAAAACTTTGCGAGCGTATAATAATTTTTCTGCAATTAATAAATATTAATAACAATTTCATAACTTACTTAATAACTGCAATAGAATGTATACTGGATATATTTACCTGAAACAAGCAAAAAAAAAAACAGTTTTCATTAAGTATTATAAAAATTTATATTTTAATTTCTATTTAAAAATATTTTTGAAAATCTTTCATAAATATTGTTTCTCTGGTATATTTATTATTATTCTAAAAAAATTAAGAACAATTTTAAAAAGGATGCACACATTAATTTTCCATCTATACTGTACTATAAATGAAAAATTTCTCTCAAATATAAAAAATAGTTTTTAAAGTTAAGATAATGGCTTGATCTTCTCGATGATAAAAAATGGGAATACGGAAGAAAGAAGAGCATTAATAAGATGGGCCTAAAGACTTCGCCCTGGCACTTCGAGCGATTAAACTCTATAGGTCGATTCTGATAGATAGAGCATTTTCTCGTTGCGTTGCCTTTAATGTGTTTTTTTTTTATCCGTTAAAGAGTAAAAAGCCGCACCTCACTTCCGTGGTTCGATCATCGTCCTCTGAAAATCGATTACCTGTCCTCCTTATTTCCTTCGATTTTATACTGTTCGAGCCGACACTAAATATTTTTTCTGCAACTTGAAAGTTAAATATGCTACATTCAAGGAGCAATAATTTTAAATAATTATTTTAAAACATAAGCAGAATACTGTTATTATTATTATTATTATTGCTAACAGAAAGAAAATTGGTTAAATTTTTTTAAAATCGTGAACATTAAACAACATTCTAGCAATAAATATAGATGAAATTTATACAAATCTGCTTAAGGCTTTGAGAGTATAATTTTAAACTCAACAGGAATAAATTAATTAACAAGACAAAGAGAACTCTTTTTAGGATTACAGCATTAGAGAAAATGCGAAATACACTTGTATGCATAGAATCTCGCAATAAATTTGTGAGAAGAGGACCAAAGCAACGGTAGGTTGGTTCAGGGTGGTTCTCGTACTTTGAATTAATTACTTGTCTACGTCGTACAGATGGCAGGGATTACATCATGAAAAGGGGTTGCACGCGCAAACTCTCGAATACAACTTCCGGACAAACGATCGGCTTTACCTTTGACGTCCACATCCGTCAGAGACGTTCTCAACCAACATTTTGGCAATCTCCCACACATTGTATTTGTCTACGTCACTCGACTCACAAACGTTCACTTATTCTCAAATCTCTGATCTTCTAACTCTATCTCACTCTATCTTTTAAAAATAAATTCCAATTTTTAATTTGGAGTTTTTAATTTGTAAATTAGAGTCAACATCAAAGGAAGCAGAAAATTAAAATAAAAGAGACGAAAAGATTTGGTTTGAATTTAATTACTAATGTCAATTATAGTAAAATTAAGTCTTCTTTCATGCAATTAGGGCAAAAACAAACTCATCGTCGAATATTCAATAAAGTCTCAAAATCTTTGGGAATATAATTACTGAAATCTACTTGTCTCATTTTGACAGTGCTCTTTTCTTGCACGTAATTATAATAGGAAATTCCGAAATCTCGGCGTCGCTAACATCAAGAGATTGCAGTTGATTTCTCCCCTTCACTATAAAGGTTTATCACCACTTTCGAACTGATTTCGATAATTGAATAGTCAATTGTGAAGAAAGGGTCACGGAGAATTTCAAGTCAACATATTTACGAAGTCATTCAATTAGGATTTGATTAAAAAATAACTCATCGATTAACATATACTCTCTAAATCTGAATTAGTAAAAATGTTTACTAATTTGAATTAGTGACTCACTTTTTGCTTCTGAATTGGTAAAATTTTACTAATTATTAGTAACTTTTACTAACAGTTTTTTACTTTTACATTAGTTACTTTTACTAATTTACTAATTCAGATTTAGAGAGTACTTGTGTTTTTCTAGATATTTTTTTTTTGGTTTAAAAATCTTATTTCTCTTTGCGTGTAACTTCCTTATTTGTTCAATGTGAGTTTCAGGTTCGGCAGAAAATGAAGACAAATGAACTTCGATGATACGAGGGTTGATGACAACAACACATTACCACACCCTTCAACCTGTTAACTCTTTTTTTCGCACTTTGAATCAAACATCGACTACTAAATATCTAAAAAAAAAAAATTAAAATAAAAATAGCAATTACTCCATTATTTTATTTAACTTTTCTTGGGTGAAATTCTGAGCTTATTAACAATTTGTAATAACTACTGCTGACTGAAAAAATAAAAATAGCAACTACTGCATTATTTTATTTAAATTTTCTTGGGTGAAATTCTGAGCTTATTAATATTAAGAAATATATGAAAACTCAAAAAAATTGAAACAAAAACATCATTCCTTTTTTTTTAAATTTCCATGGGTGAAATTCTGAGCTTATTAACAATTAACATCTACTGAAACATTTACAAATGTTTTTTGTAAGTACCTATTCTGCAAAAGTAATATTCTGTCAAATTTTTTTTCTACATAATTAAGATTCTTTTAAATTACTTTTCTACAAACGTAATATTCCACGAAAGTTACATTAATTTTTGTCTAAATAAAATTTCTACAACATTGATAATCGGTTAATTTATTATTTTTTTATTTTTTTTTGTCAACAATGTTTTTTAAACAAGGGTAAATTTGCGGTTTAGTTGCGCGACTTCCCTTTATAAACAACCTAAAATATATTTTCAAAAATTTTATATAGCAAAGCTATTATCATTGATATAGGGAGAGATTAAGAGCACATGTTACGTCCCCGTGTCATAACGAATATTCGGTTGCAAAACGCGCATTTGTGTTGTATATATATATATATATATATACTATAACCATCGTTATATGGGTTAATTCCCTTCTAGTAATACATAAATGTATTATCCCATATATTTTCAGTTACCATGGGTTCACGTCGGCGAAATTTCTCTCAGCGAAGGAAATTTCCAAACGAATTCATCTCTCACTCGATCGAGAAATCGATTATCAGATTTTACGAGTACACAGATTTAATACATTATCGTAAAACAGGTGTGGCGCTTTATTTAGGTCACGAGGTACTTCGAAAGCTGAAAAATAAGATTTTCGATAAAACATGAGAGTGACACAGATTAACTACTACTACCAGTTGAGTGGCAAAAACAGATTTAGAATTTATATTTACATAGTTGACAAGAATTGAAAATAAACTTTCTGGTTGTTTTTTTTCGATATATAAAGAAAGAGCATTTGATAATTGGGATTATCGAATAAAGTTTCGCAATCGGATTAATAATTCAATTTACAATACCTAATTAATTCACTTGTCTATATATAATATTCTATTCTAACTAAACAGCATTTTACCAAATCGGTTTACTGAGGCAATTTTTTTTTAACTCTTCCTTAAAGACTATAATAAAAAACAATTTTCAATCAAGAGTTTTCATTTTTAGAATGACATTTTCAAAATTCATGAAATTATTTATTCTTTACCTATACTTAATAATGAAGTTAATTTTTCAATATAATAAATATTATTTATTATATTCTCAAAATAATTTTATATATTCAGAGAATGAGAGTAGTCCATCAAACATTTAAATATTTATACCAAAGTAAACTGTGTTTTCTGAAAATGAAGTGAATTTTAAATTATATTTAAATTCGTGATACAAATGCAATGAATTAATTGTAAATTACAATTTTTGAAGATTATTTAATTTAACGCCGATAGATATATTTATAAATTTTTCATTTTTTTATAATACTAAAAAACTTTCGTGATATATGTAATTAAGGCACCGATACTTGTTTCCATATATTTACTAATTTAAATTAAATTTGAGCAATTGAACTGACAATATATATATGTATATATTTATATCTAAAATACAAAATTGCTGATTTTCGTAATTTCCAACGAACAGAGGCTTTAATTTATTTTCCGAATTAATCTGCTTGATTTTATTACGGTAACTTGATAATTATATTTGAATAATTGTACCTCGGTTTTGAATAGTTGGGGGATAAATGTGAATCCCGTTCTGATGAAAACGATGTTTCTCGGATTAAAATAAGTCGACAATGACGTGTCAGGAGATTGAAATGAGGACGAATTAGTATGATCGATCTAGCATTAATTCGCATAATGAGAGTAAATCAACTGGATCAATTTCCTCAATTGACGTCAAATAAACGATATGTTCCAGTGAACTATTCAATTTTCTCTCTTCTACTCTCTTATATTCTTTCATATAGAAACTCAAATACGGATAAAAATATTGTCGAAAAATCGCGATTTGTTATTAATTTTGATTAAACTTAGATTAGTGGGAAATAAGTTAAAGGGTATATATATGTAGATAATTGAAGTATTTCCTTTTTCATTATAGTAAACCGTAAATGATGGATGCGTTCTTTAGTGTCTAAGGATTTTCCACTTTAATTACAATATCGATAGCTGTCTAGACATATTATATGCGCGATAGAGTGGGGGATGTGTTATTAATCGCCAATTACTCAACCGAGCTAATTTAATCCACAGCGAACTAGCGAGAAAGTCATTGGGCAAAGTTGCTGAGAACGGCTCTGACAGGATAACGGGATAAGTGTGACAACTTTGGGTTTCCATTAAGGGGTGAGCTGTGGGTCGAATAACATTTTCACTGAAATACGGGAAACCAGAAGCTTCCAACCGAAGTTTGTTGAAAACGATAGCCTGAATGCGTAAACCCCCTGAATATCTCATCCCGCAAATTCTGCTTCCATTTAGTCTCCATGGACCAAGATGAAATTTTCCTACTTAGAGGTTATATTACGCGTTTAATATTTATGGGTTTTAAGCTAACTTTCATTTCAAAATATATTTCACTACTGCTCGCGTATATATATACAAAAAGAAATTTTGTAAGAAATATCAATTTTAAATCGTTATTTAAAAAGTAACAGAAGTGAATAAAGTTGTCATGAGGATTAATAGACGTTGGGGTAAAATTTGCATATATGTACATGCGGGATTAAATTTGACCAGTAAAGGGTTAATGCGAGATGTCGCTTTGCTCGGTTAGCTGGCTTGCCCCTGCTGATTGGTAGTAGCAATTAACGTCCCATCCTGATCGTAAGGGCCGTGCACAACGTACCAACACGGAAGTGGTCCAGCTACATAGATCATTGTGCATACGTGCAGCGGTTAGACAGCCCAGAAGCAATACTACAGCATGCAGCCTGCGGTTTCAATAGATGCCTGGACGTTGTAACGGATTAGCATAGTACCAGTCGCCAAGGAAACCTAGTTGGGTTTTAGGTGCCGAATAGTACAGTAACATGTACAAATCAGATGACCGTGCAAACGAATAACCATTTCACTTGACTTCAATTGAATCCTCTGAAATTCATATTCAACTACTAAACTCCTATCCAAAATGTTCGAATTTCAGAAACCTCTATTATTAGCACCAGCATTGAGTCTTTTCAACCAAAAATTTAATTAACGGAATTTTAATGACAAAAAATTAAATGTCTAAAGTAATTAGTAAAAATTTTCACCGTATCAATGGAACCACTGATTATTAGACCATTAATTATTCTTAATTCAAAAAAATTTACTTCAGTAAATATTTTTTTTGCCGTCCAAATCGAAATAATAGCGTATATCTGCTTTTCTCCTAAGTCACCTAAACATTTGTGAGGAAATCCTCGATATGAGAACGATTTAGCGCCTGACGGTAGATATTTTCTTATACATATTATCATCGTAAAATTTCGACGAAAACGATATGAATTTCGGTGAATCGTGGACTGGCGTTTGGGGGGAGAGATTTGCGGAAAATATAAAATAAGTAGTTCCCTTGTCCTCTGCCTCATTTGCTCGTTATCTTGTGTATAAAGAAAATCCCGCGCCATATTTTGATGTCCGACGTCGATGACTCAAAGTATTTTTTTTTTGTATTGAAATTAAAGTGTGGCGTTTAATTGATAATGGGCGGGATTGTGGATTCTAAGCGTTGGCAGAGTACAAGGGGATGATTTGGAGCTGTTGCTACTTATAAAACCCATAAAACTACGACTAAAATATCGAATGGTCTTAAGGATTTTGGAACTAATAAGGAAATTCTAGATATTCCGGAATTTAAGTTCATCTCTCCATACCCGATCTTTAATAGAACGAGGAATGAGTATTCTTATTTTTTTTTATTATTTATTGAACATTGTTATATTTCCTTTAAAATACCAGTTTACTAATCTATGTATGTATGAATTCTTTGATGATATTTGTATGTGTGTGAATGTGGTTGACGTGAATGAATTTATATATATATGTATAAAGTAATCTGAATAATCACTAATGTTATATAAATGATGCATCATTTTAAATTCTCATCAATATTTTAATAAAATATCTATAATTGATTTGTTGAAATTATATTTCTTATTGTGATTTTTTTTGTTTGTAATTGA